GCATCAATCGACTTCCGTCTGAAGAAAGGAAAGCTTCCGGGGAGTCCCAGAACACAAAATTTGGCCAAAACACTCGAGACAGCCGTCCCAGAAGCCAGGACAGCCGTCCCAGACAGGCCAGACGCCTGTCCCACATGTGAGACGCACGTCTCACCCAAATTCAACACTTGGGACGGCCGTCCCAGATCCCAGACGACCGTCCCAACCTCTGCAGACCGTGGTCCCTATTTTCTGCACCCCAGACGGCCGTCCCGAGCTGCCAGGCTGAAAAAACTATAAATAGGAGCTCATTTGAGCATTTTTAGACACACCTCACTCCTCTCTTCTCTCCCTCTTTCGAATGATCTCTCCGATTGCCTATAAGGTAACAATCGGTTAAGGAAGTTTCTTCCGACATTCGATTCTTCTTAGAATTTTTGTGGATTCGATCATGTATTCGGGGAGGAGAGTCCTTGTAGTGCGGGGGATTGCCAAAACGCATCCTCACAGTTGAAGAGTTATAATAAAAAGCTTGCTACGGAAGTTCTTTTCACTTCTCTTCTCTTTTATTGTTTTATTTACTGCTTTATGTATGCAATAGAAAATAGAATCATGTAGATAACCATTTTTTAATATTTTGGAGATTTGGTTGTAAAGCTTTCTATTTTCAATCACAAGTATGGAGTCTAGCCTCCTTATATGCATGATTATCGCCGCCGTCCGTTCCGACATCTAGGGACATCTCGAACGTTTATGCGAGCGGTCGCGAAAAGATGGTTTAGACTCGCGTTTATTAAAAATGTGTTCATTGCTCCCGAGGTGCTCAACAACTGAACTATCCTCTAATAAAAACAAGGTTTTCGTAAAAGGGTTCTTATGGAGTCGCCACTAATGCTTTGACCATAAACATTGGAAAAGGATAAAAAGGCATTGATTTTAAGAAAAACCAAACTTGGCCATTATAACCAGAGTTAGGTAAGGGAGTTAGTTACGCGCGGGGAAGGTGTTAGCAACCCCACGATGCCCCTTCCGGGTTCCCTATGACGGATTAATTCATAAAGCAGGATTGTCTTTTAGAGCCATTGCAAAAGAATAAAGAGCTTCAGGAAATCCAAAGCTCCAACATTTCCTACTTCCACTCAAAAAAAAAAAAAAAAGAAGAAGGCACAACAAAGAAAACGACAAAGGAAAGGCTCAATCATCCTCAAGTGGTTCGTACCTACTCCAAAGGCAACACAAAAATATTACTTCACGACTCAGTAGTGCCACCACATGAGTCATCGAGCACATTCATCCAAAATCTCCACCACATTCCCCAAAGGAGAATAAGGGCTACACAAAAGTCCCTCAAAGCAATTACGAAGTTAGAATCTCCATATCCCCAAGATTTTAATAGAAAAGAAAAAGAAAAAAATCCTTGATCCCCCAGCAGATGCCCAAAAAGAAGAAAAGGCCACGACAGAAAATGCCAAATAAAAATCCCCAAGTTGATTATTCCAGAAAAATATACAAAAAGAGGGAATCAAGAAAATTCCCATCCTCCAGTTGAATAAGAGCTTCATAAAGTCAAGAGCCAAAACTCCATCACCAAAAAATCAAATCAAAGTCGGATCCACAAGAAGCCAACTAATTCCTTGGTGGATCACCAAAAAGAAATTTTCATCCCCAACAGATATCCAAAAAAGAAAAAGCCTGCATGCATGAAAGAAATTAAAAATTAAAAAGGCGCACGCATTATCCAAAGGAAAGAAGCCAAATTTCAAAATCGCGAAAAAAGAGATAAAATGCGAAAAAAGGAGAAATTAAATAATCATAAAACTCATTCCCCAGCAGAATAAGAGCATCAACAAAGCTAACCCATACCAACAACATTCAACAAGGAGTAAAAAACTCCATTCCCCCTGGGGGGAAAATAAAAAATTAGATCCCCGGGAAGGCAATCAATCCCCCGGTGCATCATAAAAAAGAGAAAAATCATCCGCAGTGAGCCTACTACAAAGGAAAACTCCTGACTCACATTCTCAAAAGAGTCATTTGCCTATATTGCCCAATATGAATATCCTCAGTGGAATGCATAGGCAAGATTTGGCAAGCAAAATGCCAATATCCCCAGAAAGGGACATCAGCCTAGTCAGAGGCAAAATAACACAAGCACAAAGTCTTCATTATTGCTAAAGCATTCGCCCACTCAGAGGCACAATCAACAAAAATCAACAAATCCCCAGCGGATTCCTGCCTATGCCAAGAGGCAATCACCTAAAGTCCCTAGCAATCAACAAGTGTAATGGTTAAAGAAAAAACCAAAAATAAAAAATCCCTAGCAACCACAAGCTGGACCACTACTGGAAAAAAAATGAAAAAATCAACAAAAATCCCCAGCAATCAACAAGTTGGATGACTATTTGGAAAAATCCAAAAAGAATCAAAGAAATCCCCGACAAAACCAGATGGCTACGGAAAAGCTTACACATCAAGAATCCCCGACAACCAACAAAGTCAGATGACTATAGAGAAATCCCGAAAACAAAGAATCCCTGGCAAAATCGGACGACTAAACAGAAAAAGTCAAAAACAAAATTCTCAAACAACTACTCCCCATGGAATCAGCGCAGGACTTAGATTAGTAAGCCGCTAACACATAGTTCAGTCCAAGAAAAAGGACTCTAACCAGATGGGGGTTCGTACTCATCACCACAAGGTCGAAGAGAAACCTTGTGGATATCTGCATTCATCATTGGCGCATGATCGAGATCAATCAACCACCATCACACGTTTCAGTCTAAAGGAAAGAGGACTAAAAAATGGATGGGGGTTTATATTCATCAAGTCTTACAAAAGGGGACTCCGATCAAGTCTTTCAGAAGAGAACTTCAAACCGGATGGGGGTTTATACCCACCGAGTCTTTCAGAAGAGGACTCGAACCTAGTCTTTTAGAATAAGACTTCAAACCGGATGGTAGTTTATACTCATTGAGTTATACAAAAGGGGACTCTGATCAAGTCTTTTAGAAGAGGACTTCAAACCGGATGGGGGTTTATACCCACTGACTCTTTCAAAAGAGGACTTGACCCAATCTTTTAGAAGAGGACTTCAAATCAGATGGGGTTTATACTCATCAAGTCTTACAAAAGGGGACCCCGACCAAGTCTTTCAGACGAGGACTTCAAACCAGATGGGGGTTACCCACTGAGTCTTTCAGAAGAGGACTTCAAACAAGATGGGGGTTTATACTCATCGAGTTTTACAAAAGGAGACTCCGACCAAGTCTTTCAAAAGAGGATTTCAAATTGGATGGGGGTTTATACCCACCGAGTCTTTCATAAGAGGACTCGAACCCAGTCTTTTAGAAGAGGACTTCAAACCGACTGGGGTTTATACTCATTGAGTTTTACAAAAGGAGACTCCGACCAAGTCTTTCAAAAAAGGATTTCAAATCGAATAGGGGTTTGTACCTATCAAACTATTCATTGTCCAGAGGATCAACGACTACAACAAAGGAGCATCCGAAGGATGACCGGGCAAGAGGGTTAACTCCTTCACCTGCCAACCAGTCTCGTAGGCATATTGAGCCAACAACCAGTTAGCCAGGTGAAGGGGGGGCAGCTATAGACCCCAAATCTTGGCGGGCTTCACAATAAAGATCATAAGACTTCCATTCTGAAGATTGGTAAAGCTCCGTTGGGCCCCTAACAGCATTAACCGGCTTCTATTTAAAGAAAGGAGAGTTTTTCTAAAGAAATAAAAAACCAGAATTTGGGAAAAACACTTGGGATGGCCGTCCCAATTCTCAGACAGTCATCCCAACCCATTTTTACACTTGGGACGGCTGCCCCACCTGACAGGACTTGGGACGATTGTCCCGACGTCCTAACAGTGTCCAGCTATAAATAGGGGCCTCATTTGAACCTTTTGGACACCTGAACTCATATTCACTTCCCTCTATTCTTCTATATACTTCTAGTACTCGAATGATCTCTCTGATTGCCTATAAGGTAACAATCGGTTAAGGAAGTCTCTTTTTGAGATATCCAACATTCAATAGTTTAAAGCTTTTTTTGTATTCGGGAAAGGAGAGTTCCTGTAGTGCGAGAGAATAGGCAAAAAACATCCTCAGAGTTGAAGATTTCTATAAAAAGCTTGCTACGGAGGTTCTTTTCACTACTCTTCTCTTTTATTGCTTTATTTATTGCTTTCCTATATGCAATAGAAATAGGATCATGTAGATAATCATTCTAGTATCGGGTAATAAAATAGGGTAATATTGTAATATCTTATAATCTTTATTTTATGAATTAATCCGTCATAGGGAACCCGCTTCCCCACACGTAACTAACTCCCTTACTTGACTTTGGTTATAATGGTCAAGTTTGGTTTTTCTTAAAATCAACGCCTTTTTACTCTTTTCCAATGTTTATGGTAAAAATATTGGTGGCGACTCCATAGAACCATTTTTACGAAAACCTTGCGTTTTAAAGATTAGTTCAGTTGATGAACATCTTGAAAGTGATGATCATTATTTTTTACAAAACACGAGTTTAAATCATCTTATTGCAACCGCTCGCATAAACATTCATAACGTCCCAAGGCGTCGGAACGGACTGCGACGACAACAATCATCCTCTTAATCTGATGTATACTGACTTTTTAAGGTGTTGTTCGATGTTGACCTTTGAGTTCAACACATTTTCTTTCTCTAATGAACTTCATGGCCAGTTGCTTATAATCAGTCAATATTAGACCCAATGTCATTAGCTCCTGCATCCCTAATATGATCTTGGTTCGACTTAAGGGAAACACAAACAAATCAACAAAAAAGTGCAATAGCCCAATTGTAAGGTACTTGTTTACAAATAGATGAACATGAAAGCTCCTTTCCATTTTTTGCCAAGACATAAACAGCTTGAGTCGAGGAAACTTGAAGGCCAAAGAATTTAGCTATGTTAGCTTGAATGAAGTTGTGGGTGCTCCACTATCCACCAGAATCGTAATCGGGGATGCATTGACATGGCCCAAAACCAGTCTAAGGAATTGAGTGGCCCATCAGTGCATTTAAACTGATTTGGGTTGGGGTTGTATCTAGAGGTTCAGGTTTCTCATTTGGAGTCGGGTCATCTATATTAAGGAGATTGTTCACATCAAGCTCATTAGTTTTAGGGTCATTTAGCTTTGCTATATACAACATGAACTCATGCTTGCACTTGTGACTAGGCTGATACCACTCATCGTAATAATAACACAAGTTCTTCTCGTGACAACTTTGGAGCTCAGTAGGGGACAATCATTTGACTTTAATAGGATTAGGCTCGATTTGGATTTAATGGAGGAAGTGTTTGAAGTTTGTGTGTGGTAATAAAGGGGGTTAACAATTATTGTGGGTTTTGCGATGGAGGAGGATGGTCAAGTATAATGATTTTTGGTTGAAGCTTTGATAAAATTTTCTTATTGCAATTTTGTCAAGATTATGGATTGGGACAATGAGATTGGTTGGAAAGCTTGGACCTCTCTTCGAATTTTAGGTTGAAGTCCTGAAACAAAGTAATTGAGGAAGAATAGAGGAGGCAAACCCACAATCCTAGAGATTCTGTTAGAAAAAGAGGCTAAGATCAAGAGGGGAGGTGAATTGATCTTTGAAAGATTTTCGCAATTAACAGATTATCTATTTCAATAGTTAAGATTTCAGATTTGTTTTTGAATCACACAGCAAGCAATCAAAAAATAAATGCAGCAACAGAATTAAAGAAAAGAAAGGTTTAGAAAGATATCACCAAGGTTTATACTGGTTCACCCAATCCCAGGGCTACGTCCAGTCTCCAGCCAAATTCCAGCTGGGTTCCACTAGATTGAATGTTTTACAGATTACAACCTTAACCTTACACTCAATCTACCACAAGAACCACAATTCCAGTTCCTGCACCTAACCTTTCACCAAGAACCAAATTCCAGTTCTTGACAACCTTTACAACCAAATTCCAACTGCAAAGAAACCAGTGCCCACAATTCCAGGCACCAACAATACATAAAAGAATGTAAAGAAACAAACAGAAGAATCTATAATGTTCAAACCAGTTTTATGCAATTCTGCAGTAAGTTGTTTCTTCTCAAAAGAATGCAGTTTTGCCTCAAGAAAGAATTCTTGTGAACTTCACAAAAACTAGCGCGAATCTTTCTTGAAAGAAGTACTTTTGATTGCTTGAATGATTGCAAAAGGATGTGTATCAGAGATATTTTAAAATGATCAAGCAACTCTGTTTATATAGAAGATTTTCAAAGCTACTTGGTTTAATTAATGCTGTTAAAATAATCTTTTAATCTGTTAAAAGCCTTGTTTTAATCTGTTAAAACTTCTTTTAATCCATTAAAATGTTCTTGATTATTCTCCGGATTTGTTTTAACCGATACTGACAACGTTTATATCAATTAAAACTCTTGGCAAAAAATCTTCTAATTTGATTTAATCGATTGTTTCGTGTTTCAATCAATTAAAATACTGCAAAACTTTCTTGTAAACTTTTCCAAGTGATTTTAACTGATAAAAATAAGTTTTAATCGATTAAAATGCTGTGTAGAAATTTCCTTAAGTTGTTTTAATCGATTGAAACGTGTTTTAATTGATTAAAATAATTCTGATCGGTCATAACTCAATTCTGATCGATCATATCTGATTCTGATCGGTTATAAACACATTCTGATCGGTCATACTATACTCTAAGTGGTTTTAATCGATTGTTTCAAAGTTATATCGATTAAAATACTGCCAAAACACTTCTCTGAATATTTTAAGTGATTTTAATCGGTTATTTCGAAGTTGCATCAGTTAAAACCTTGTTATAAAATTGTTAAGAACATTTTAGTTGATAAAGCTTATATGCTATTAGTTAAAAATAGTTAATCCAAAAGCTTTTATCAAAGTACTTTGTTTTTAACTGTTTAAACGTTTTTAGAGGCATTTTGCAAAATCTTTTAAGTGAAGAAACCTCATGCAGCAGAGAAGATAAAAATGATTATACCTAAGCAGAGCTGCAGACACACTAATCCCTCTACTCTTTTATCTAAGTGACTTTTGACTGCCACAAAGTTGCCTTTGACTTCATTCTTGACTTCATCAAATCAACAAGATCTTTGCCAGAGTATTTCAATAAGATCTTCATCACTTTCAGATTCAAGATGATTTTGGTATTCATGAACAATAGAAGTTTGGCAAAGTTTGAACAAGGCTCCTCTTAGGTCCTCATAGTGTGACGATGCGAAACAAACCTCTAAAGCATGAAGGAACAAGGAAGATCTTATCCTTTCATTGGAAAAAGAAGCCATTTGAAGCCTTCAATCCTATGGAGTCTTGTGGTAGTAAAAAAATTGCTTGATTTTGATTATCCAAGCTAATGGTTCAAATCCATCAAATCAAGACATATCTTGTTTCAAGGAGGTTCAAGTAAAAGGTTGAGGGTAGAGTCATTCACTGTGAAATCTCTAAATGCATTACGAATTGCTGCTTGGGCTTCCAAATTATCCACATGAATGTCCATTGCTTCTTTGAAAACTTTATGGCTTTCAAGTTATTGAAGAATGTGTTGAGAACTCAAGTGTGAGTTTGATGTCCCACATTGGGTAGAAATTACATGTTGGTACTTATTTTCTCTGTTATAAAAGGAGTATCATGTCTACCTTGTAAATCACCCCAAATCTCTTCCTTCTCCTTTCTACTAGTGCATTGCTTAGTGTAGACCCCAAATCTTGCCCGGCCTCAAAATAAAGAGCAGAAGACCTCCTATTCGAAGATGGACAAAGCCTAAAAAGCCACTAGGAGAGACTATTAGGCCCCATATTAGAGTAGGAAGGCTTTTCTGTACAAAAAATAAGGATTCCCACCTTAAGGGGTCGAGACAGCCGTCTCGCCACTTGCCTTTGGCAAGACCACCCTCCCGTTTGGCGAGACGACCCTCTCGCCATTTGGCAAGTCGATACCGCCATCTCGCCAAACGAGACGGCGGTCTCGCCACTTGTCAAAATCGAGACCGCCGACTCAACCTTGCCAGGCAAGACCGGCGGTCTCGACCTGACAGGCACAAATTGCTATAAATAGTGGGCGCTCCCCCCTTCATTTCACACAGCTCTTCCACCTTTCCTTCTACAATTTCTTAAAATTCTTCTTTTAGAGCCCCTCCGAAGCATTTCCGGAGTTTCTGAGTGTTCTAAAAGAGTTTTTATAGCGTTTTCGAGAGAGAATTCAACGTTGTAAGAGTGAGGGGCTTCCAAAACGCACCCTATTTTTCACAAGAATTAATCAAAGCTTGCTTCGGAGATTTCTTCATTCTCCCTCTCTCTCTTTTATCGCTTTATTATTTATATATGCGTTAATTAGGGCCATGTAGTCATCATTTTTTTATTCCGCAAATAAAAGGGTAAAAGCGTCATTTCAAAAAGTTTATTTATAAAGTAACCAGCCCATCATAGGGAACCCGAAAGGGGCATCGTAAGGGAGCTAATACCTCCCTTACACGTAACTAACTCCCTTACCCAACTCTGGTTTTAACGACCAAAGTTGGTTTTTCTTAAAAAGCCAACGCCTTTTTCTTTCCTTTTCCGATGTTTCTGGTAAAAACATCGGTGGCGACTCCATAGGAACCCTCTAAATCTTGCTCTTGGGTCAGCCCGGTTATCGGACGATCTAAGAGCTCCTTTTTGAAAACCTCGCTCTTAGGTTCATCCCGGCTATCGGACAACCTAAAGGCGTTGTAACCTCACCCATAAAAACACAAAAAAATGGAAAGTCAGAACCATAACGTCGCTCCGACCGCCTCTTTTTGACGACGGCGACACATAGTATTTGAGTTCTCTTATTTCTGAGAGAGAATATTATTATTATTTTCTCCTTAGAGTTAAAAAGGTATTGTAATTTCTTCTACTAGTAAAATTCTATTATTTCCTATTGTTGATTTTGTTTCTCTTTTCTCATATTTTATTTTAGTTGTGAGTTCTTATGCAGTTACTCTGATTCCTAACAATGATATCAGATCCGATGGTTGGTTTCTTATTTATGATATTATTTTGCTGCTATAGCCATTAGAATAGTGTTGGAGAAAATTCTTAGTATGCTCTGTGGTTGCGGTTAATTTGATCTTTCATATTAGAAAAGAGTTATTCTAGTTATTGGATATAAAGTATGATAGTGTGACAGTGCATGTCTATGAAAAGTTCTGACAAGGAAAAACTTGGTATTTAAGTATGTCTATTAGTGACCCACCTCTCTTTCATGAGAGCTTTCCTGATGTACTAGTTATAGTTTACACTATTGTTCTAGTAGGCAATACTATTCATAGTAAAAGGTGTATAAGTCAGTTAAAATCATGACAACAAAACATGAGATAGAGAAGTTTAATGAGAATAGTTTCTCATTATGGAAATTGAAGATGAAGGAAATTTTGAGAAAAGACAATTGTGTAAATGCAATTGGAGAAAGATCGTGGGCATCACAAATTAAAGGTAGGAAGAAATTAATAAGAACGCTATAGCAAATTTGTGGAGAAGGGTACAACAAAGGAGATTTGGGAGTCCCTTGTCAAATTGTATCAGGTGGAGCACACATATTGGACTTGGTTTATTATGATGTGTTGGAATCCAAATATTTTGTGTCAGTGATGACAATAATTACTTCAGGTGATTATGGGTGTACCGCATCAAGAGGAAGTTTGTGTTTTCAAAGTTTGAGAAAGGCAAATTCTTGGACTATGCTAACAATGTGAAGGGGTATTTCCTGTGGATTCCACTATCCACAAGGCTATTGTTAGCAGTGATACACATATTGTAGACCCCAAATCTTGCCCGACCTCATAATAAAGACCAGAAGACCTTCTATTCGAAAATGGATGAAGCCTAAGAAGCCACTAGGAGAGACTATTAGGCCCCATACTAGGATAGGAGGGATTTTCGGCATGTAAATAAGGATTCTCGCCTTTTTGGGTCGAGACCGCCATCTCGTATTCGGGACCACCGTCTTGCCTTCTGAAAGTGGCGAGACCGCCGCCACGTTTGGCGAGACGGCCGTCTCGCCATTTCTACAAGGCGAGACGGCCGTCTCGAATGGTGAGACGACCGTCTCGACCTTGTCAGACGAGACGACCGTCTCGACCTGACAGGCGCGAATCCCTATAAATAGCCGCGTCATTCCCCTTATTTCACACAGTTCTTCCATTCTCTCTCTTGTCATTTCATAAAATTCTCTTCCTATAACCCCTTCGAAGAATTTCTGGAGTTTCTGAGAGCTTTCTAGAGTTTTTTATAGCGTTTTCGAGAGATTCCGACACTGTAAAGAGTGAAGGGCTGCCAAAAAGCACCCTAATTTTCAAAAAGTTAATAGAAAGCTTGCCTCGGAGGTTTCTATACTCTCTCTCTCCTTTACCGCTTTACTTTAAATTATGCAATAGATATTAGGGCCATGTAGTCGTAATTTTAAATTTTGCAAATAAAGGGTAAATGCGTATTTTCACCGGTTTACTTATTTAAAATAGCTGGCCTATCATAGGAAACCCCAAAAGGGGCGTCATAAGGGAACTAACACTTCCCTTACAGGTAACTAACTCCCTTACCCAACTCTGGTTCTAATGACCAAAGTTGGTTTTTCGAAAACCAACGCCTTTTTTTACACCTTTTCCGATGTTTCTGGTAAAATCATCGGTGGCGACTCCAGAAGAACCCTTCAAAATTAGTTCTTGGGTTAGCCCGGTTATCGGACAATCCAAGAGCGCCTTTTCAAAAACCTCGCCCCTAGGTTCAGCTCGGTTATCGGACAACCTAAAGACGTTGTAACCACACCAATAAAAACGCAAAAATTGGAAAAGTCGAAACCATCGCGTCGCTCCGACCGCCTCATTTTGACGGCGGCGACATATGGCGACTCCACTGGGGAAGCCTAGAGAGTTGATCCCATTTAGTGATGGGCCAGCTTAAAATAAATAAACCAAGAAAATTACGCTTTTACCCTACCTTGTATTATAACATGTTTTAATGCTTGGCTTTAATAACTGTTGTTTGTTTATACTTACGCAATTGTTTGAAATACAAACTATACACAAACCCTTGCACACAACAGTTCCCTCTATACCCGGGGGCAAGGGAGAAATACATAGGGAGTGGGTGGCAGGTATGGTTCGCTGTAGTGATGGTCTTGTGCCCACCAGTGTGATCGGAAACCACCACTCAAGGTGATAACCTTCCTCTTTTGGCACAAAGACTGACTATGGCCTTAGTGTTAAGCATGGTCGAAAGGCTGGAGAGTGGGGACCCTATAATGGGGGCACCTTGGGGGCCTAAGCCTTGGTGAGAACAATTAGAACTTACCCTTGCCAATGCACTTTTTTGTAGGAAAACCCTACCTCATGATTAAAACGACTTCTCGCCTGTTCGCGGATGAGTGAATTGTATGTGCATTTGTTTGTTGCATTTGATTGCATAGCATAACCAAACAACAAATAAAAACAAAATTTTACAATAAACACCCTTATCTCGGACAGTCTGCCTTTTAGCTAGCCTGGTTTCGGGTTCTTTGTAAGCTAAGTAGTCACGCGAGTCAGACGTAAGAGATAAGGGACGCTAATATTATTCTTTCGCCAATAAAACCATTTTATCTCGGACGATCCGCCTTTTAGCTAGCCTGGTTTCGGGTTCTTTGTAAGCTAAGTAGCCACGCAGATCCGACGAGAAGAGATAAAAGGCTATAAAAAATAAATCCAAAATAAATAAAATAATAATAACAAAATCAAAACATTTATAAAAATAATTTTGACAAAGTCGTATCATTCATATTGCATCATGTCATAAGTGGAAAAACATAGAGAAAAAAAATAAATGCATAAGGAAAGTATGCATACACATCATTTTAATAAATCCCTAAAAAATGGGTCTTAGAAGCGTTTTTGGGAAAATTACTGGTCCAAATCCCCTTTGAGTATCTGTAGCTTGATTCCTCACCTTTTTCCCTTCGTTTTGATATGCTGTGCGTCCAAATCGAACATCTCAGTCAAAAGTTATGCCACTTTGAACATCTACCGCCCTTTTGTACTGGTGCATGCATAAATACATTCATTCTAAGGAATATCCATCTCATAAATCATTTGTTTTAAACAATAAAAATCTTTTTGCATTCTAGAAAGCGGCTAGTATTCTTCATGCCATCATCCGCATACAAAAAAAAACACAAAATCTCAAACACTATCATATATCATGTTAGAAAATAAAACATGATAATGTTTAGGAAAAAACAAACACTTGCATACATGCATCCACCAAACTTCATCCTCATAACATGCATCTAATAATAGACAATCGAAGAAGTGGACATTCCTCAATACCATGAAAAGAGGATTAGGGCATTCGCATGCCATGCACGGGAAGTCAAAAAGAAAATAATAGAAATTCTAACATGCCTATGGGTTCATTTAGGCTTCTCCACTTTTAAAAAAAAAATGTACTTCGAAACGTTGCATTGAGGAATGTACACTGTCTGGATGAAATAAATAAAATTGTTTGT